AGCTCCGCTTCAAAGATTAAATAGTTAAGAAAATTTAAAATCCACTTACTAAGTGGGATAATCCTAGAATCGGGACATAATCGTGTGGAGATAATTTTAGAGACAAAATAGGAAAAATAGTGATAGAGTGTGTGCCTGGATAATTTTCACTAAACTAAATACAATAAGATAAAGCAATATTATTAAATGCGACTTTAATTTAAATTTTGTAAAAAAAAACAATTTAACGATCTACTAATTTAGCTTAACTAAGAGATCCTAATACAAATTCTCCTTCTCCTAAGATATTAGAATCGTCCAATCGGATATGCTCTGATAAGGATACAAAAACCTCTGAAAAATTGTTGCAAATATAATACCTTTTCGAGTTCGGTCACGCGAACTTGAGACTTTGCTAGATCTCGTTCCAAGGTTGTTACTCTCAAAGCTAAAGACTCGTCTCTAGCAGACTGATCGACTAATTTAGACTTCTCATCAGCCAGTAGCGTGACATCCTCTGTAAGCTCCTGGCATCGAACCTTATAAAAAACATATGAAAATTGGGAATAAACCATATGTATGTGTCAACTGGAAAGATAGAGAAAAACCAGCAGAAAATAAGTATTATAAAAATTAATCTTAAAGATTATTTAGCCCTACTTAACGAAACGAACCTGTTCGGGCTAAAATATGATACGATTCGGGTTCAAAAAATATATCATTTATAAAGGAGTCTACATAAAAAATCGAAAATATAGTTAATTCAAAAGTTTGCTATGTATGCATGATAAATTGAGCAAAGGAATAAAGGCCACAAAATAAACATGAAAATGCAGGCAAATAACAGCCAAAGAGAAAGGCGATTTAAAAAAAGGTATCAAAAAGTTAATTGTCATATAGCTATAGTTGTGTGAATAGTTTTGAGTAGCTATTTGCTGTGGCTGATTTTTTGGTAATATCAAGCCTAAGGAGAGATAGAGATAACTGACTTAGAGTTACATAAGTATTTGCAAAGCCAATTTCGAGAGTATGATAAAAGCGAAATATTTACGAGGACACTGTTTTCTCACATCCATGTGAAATCCGCTTTGCCAGAATACATTACTTTGAGAGCATACAGGCTAAGTCTTGCTTGAGTAGATGTCCTGTTCATAGATGTAGCAATTATTTAACAGTTCATAAGAGCTAATGAATACTTTGAGCATCTTACTTGTCGTCAATATATTGGGTGCTTGCATTAGAACTGATTAGTCGTCAACCAACACGGACTAACATCCACTAAAGTCCGTTTAACTTAAATATCCAAGCCTATTCAGTCGCATTGAAAGTATTGGTAGTTTCACCAGTCGTTATTGAGGTAATATTTTAAAGTTCTGCAATATTATCTGTTAGCATGTTTATTCGAGAATAGC